TCCTGCTGACCAATAGCAGCATCTTTCCCTTCCTCTGGCAGCAGAAAATAGGAGAAGGATAGCTCCTCCTAGGACCTTTAACACCCTACAGAGACTGTTTCCTGTTCATACAGGACAGGAGAATGCATTTCATTACTGGCAAACTTTAGCTCTTGCCTTTATTTTGTAACCCTTTAGTTTTAATCTCAATGAATCTTTCTCCTTCTCTGGGGCAGGGCAGCAGTGACCTTGCCTCCCCTTGGAAATACTTGGTTTAACCAATGATTTTTCCCATTTATCTGCCTCATTTGTCTGTGACAGGGAATTGTCCTTGTGCACTTGAAAACAGAAGTGGAGCTGCCTGATCAGGAATGACCCTCAGTGTTCTAACACCAGACTCCAGTGCACACTTTTCAGTTGTGATTTGTAGCTTGAATTTAATTTGGCTGAACCTCTCTAAGCACAGCCATGGAGAATATTAGAAAATTATTAGTGAATTGAAGAAAGTTGTGACTATTGTCATTATTTTGCCTTTGGTAGAACACAGCCTAGGCTCAGCTCTATGTGTTATTTCACTTGTTTTAATTCAGGTTTCCTGTGAGAACATAGTGCAGGCATTGCTAGTTCTTGTTCATACAAGTTTTGTCTATGCAGTACCAGGCCTGAAGCTAAAAGTGACAAGTCTCAAAGCCAGCCTTGTAAATAATTTGGAAGGGATTAAAGTGTCATCAAATGTGTTCTGGTGGCCACTGTGTTTGTGAGCTTGAGAATAGTTCACTCTGAAGTCTGTGTAACTTGTGAGAAGGCAAGAGAATGCAGAAATGGGAAAAACTGCACTGGCAGATAAGTAGCTGTAACTTGCAGTTGCTGATTCCTCACACATGTACCTCATGGTCTAATGGTGGTGTTTATCCATAAGGTATTGATCATGTTAGAATTTAAGCTTTCTGCTAGAGATTAACTGTTGTTGTTGTTGGCATAACAGAATCATCTAGAAGCAACATACCAGTGCTAGGGACACTTGTCTCTCTGCTGATGGAGAAGGCAGCTTTTAGCAGCTGCCCACATTACTGTACTTAGCTCTGCTGACATACACTGACTGCATCTCCAGTAGTGGGCAGGGAAGAGAGTGTTTTTTTACATGAATAAGCTTTGTGATACTAAAGGAGAAAGAACATTCCTGGATTGTCACCTGAAGCCAAGGCAGGATTGTTGCTTTCCAGTCTTTTCCCATTTCCCAAATGATAGAACATGATTCACTTTTTTGAGGGATATGGAGCCTGGCAAAACAGGTTCCACAGGAGAAGAATTTCTTTTATTCCAAATCTTCCTTTAATTTCATCTTGTTACTTTCCATACTCAAGATGTAACAATTCCTGATTGATTTGTTCATGTGTAGGTGTAAAACGTAGGTGCTATATGGGGGATGTATCTTGTGTGTAGGTTTCTCTGCCTCCCTTTATCTGTTGTATGTCCACGACTGGAAGCTGAACAGCTGGGAACAGACTGGAAATACACCTTGAACTGTGGACAAAATCCTCTGTTTAGGCTGTTTACAGTTTGTGAAGCTGAGGAAGGCTTTTAGAGTCACTAAGTTTGCAGATTTTTTTCCTGGTTTAAATTTTTTCTCCAATACTGCCTTCATATAATGGTGTGCTACTGATAGAGTGAAGTGATTAATTGCTTTCTCCTCTACACCCCTACTCTTCCCAGCAATTAAAAGAAAGGAAAACAGGCAAGAAGTAAACTTCAGGTGTTTTTTCACAAATTTTACATTTTAACTCTGTAGCATTAGTGAGATGGTATTAGTTCTCTAGTGCTGAGTGTCTTTTTTTGATAAGGCATTTGTTTCCGTGAAGGTTCTTGGCTTCTGTGTTTTCATGGATGATGCTGATTATACTTGGAACCCATATACCTCCTTGGCTGCTCAGGTTTAGCAGGTCAGACTGGGACTGGTGATGGGCACAAGTTACAGAAGAACTTTTCTGAACAAAAGCTAAGAGCTCTGAAGCACTTTGATTGCAGCTGTACCTAAAATGACCAGCAGCACTTTCCTGAGTTTTCTTATGTCTAGGAAATCTAAATTTACAAGCTACCAGCTCAGAAAGCTGTTCTTCTGACAGATGGGGAAGTTTTTCAGGAACGGAGAACTCATCTTCTGTCTGTTGCCACAGGAGGGAAGCAGTCTGTCAATAACTACTCTTTCCTCATTTGCTGCTGAAAAGTCCTGCCCTGCTTAGAGGCTTAGGTCTGAGATCAATTTGTGGTAAGGGGCTTCTATCTCTGACCTCTGTGAACACAGAGAATCAGAGTACACTGACCTTGTCTCTTCTAGAGCACAATGCAAGGTAGATTTATTTTTTTTAAAAGGCAGCAATTTTATTTTTTTTTCTTCTTAACTGCAAGTATCTATAGACCAGTTAAATAACTGAGCAGAGGAAGAGTGGAAAGAAATATCTCATTTGCAGGACACTTGAGTTTCTCCTTTCTCATTTTTGGTGCCTAGATATACTGGTGACTAGTGAGCATAGGAATTAATGAACTGATGTCATAAGAGGTATTTCCAATATGGGCACTGAGCAGTTGAGGCTGACAGCACTGATAGTGGCTCTGTTCTATCAAACACTGTGTAGGCTGGTGACTGGATATTAAGGTAATTTTCTCCCTGATTGAAGCCACAGCAGAAAACGTTGAGGTAAAAATGAACAAAACCCTGATCATGACCTCAAAGGAGGACTCTGTGCTGTAGGGATTACTCTGCTTCTGTGCCATTTGTACCTCTGCTTAGAGACAGAACCTGTTGCCACCAGACGAAGGCTGTTCTGAACAGATAGCTCAAAGAAAAATGTCCCATTACTAACATATGTTGTGGTCTTCTCCATCCCTGAGTGCCAAGTCTATTGTTAGTGCTCTCTCCTGTGTGATACACTGATTTGCAGGTCCCTCCCCCAAGCTTAGTGCAGTATACAAAAGTGGGAGGATTTTTATATTTTTTTTTTTCTTTTCAAATGCCTTCCTTCAGAACTAGTGCAGAGCTTTAATCCCAAAGAACCGAAGTTTCCCAGGGAAAGGCAGGAATGCCCTGGCTGCACTAATCTGCTTACAGGAGGTGCTCACACTGTCCCAAGGTACATTCTGTTTGTCAGGGTCACTGCTGCTGACCAGCTTTTTTATAGAGGACTCAAGAGTTTCAGAAATATATTTTTGTAGACAATGACTAAGCTGTGAAACATTGAAATAAAGCATGTAAACAAAAACTTACAGCACTGTCCTCTGTACAGATGTTTTTCTCATTTCAGTTCTCTTCTGACTCGTTAGGAAATGTTTGATTACTTCTTGAATATATTTTAATAAAATTCTCCAAAGAATGTGGCTGCTGTCTATGGAAGGGGTGGCCTTAGATAAAATACTGAAGGGGAGGGTTGAAAACCTGTACAGGTACGGTCTGCATCAGTCCTCAAATTAGTGAAGTTGGATCTTCCACACAATCACTCCCTGGGTCAGCCACTCTCCTGGAGCAGTGACCATCTCTCAAGGCTGTGAAGGTGGCAGACTGGAGAAGAAGCCACTTTCAGTGGTTAAGGGATAGCTTGGGATGTAGACTGGTGTTTCCTCACTTGACTTCTCACAAGTTGAAATTGTGGTACAAATTCTGTACAGCAGAGGAGAGTAGAGTTTGGATGCCGCTGATGTTGGTTCTTAAGTTCTATGTAGTTTTTGTAATACCAAAGGCAGACCCTGCTTCCAAAAAATACAGTATTTTGAACCTTGATGTAATAATCTGTTCATGATTTTATCCATGTGCCACATCAGTACTAATGACACTGAAAAGTACAGATAATTGGATGAAAAGCACCTGGTATTGGGCATTGCCTTCCCCACTGCCCAGTACAGTAGATTGCATCCCTCGAACCAGCAAGTAAAAAAAGATGAAATGCAGTCATCTATTTAAAAGAAGCGGAAAAAAAAAAAAAAAAAAAAAGTGAAAGCAAGTAACTTGCCTTTGCTGCTGCTAATTTAGTGTTAAATGTGACTCTCCCAGAGTGAGGAAACAGTACATGCACAAGAAAAGTAAGAAAATCCGTAGGAAAACCCTTGTGGTGTGGAAGATCACACCTGCTCCAGTTCCTATCGGTGCTACCGTGTCTTAACTGCACAAGCTGACACCTAAGGTTGCATGTCATTTCTTTAACCCTGTAGGATTCTGAAGTATTTTGAGGTTCAAGTATTTGAAAAGGAGCAGGCTCAGGGCATTGCCCTATCCAGCTAATCTTGACAGCTGCTTTCTATTAACATGATCTTGTATCTTAACCGCCGCTAATAAACGCCTCAGCCTGCCCCGCCGGCGGGCGCGGCACCCGCAGCTCCACCTGCCCTCGGACCCCACAGCTCAAGCTGGTACCGTACTGGGGTTTGTCTGCGTTTACCTCGGCATTTAGGCAACACCTCCTCGACTCCTGTGACAACCTCGGGTTTGGGACGTGGCGGTACCGAGAGACGCTACGGCGGGAAGGCCGTTGCGCGGCTGCTGCCCGGCCCTGCCCCGCTCCCCGCCGCGGCCCGGCCCTGCC